GTGGGTGGGTGTGTGGGTGTGTGTGTGTGTGTGTGCGTGTGTGTGTGTGTGTGTCTGTGTGTGTGTGTGTGTCTGTCTGTGTGTGTGTATGTGTATGTGTGTGTGAAACACTGTTACCAAGGGAAACGTGGTCATGTCACAAGTGGAGGGGGGTGAGACGCATACTCAGTGATCTCATCCAACGAAGCTAACTGAGTGTGCGGGAAGCTGGAACTGGCCATTTCAATGTACCTGCTGTGGGAGACCTCGCTCCTGGGCCCTGCGTGGCAGCTGGGGGAGGTCAGCAAGGTGCCCTGGGCCGGGCGTGGCAGCTGGGACACTGGCACTGCATAAAATGCAAATCCGCCGAAAGAGAGCAGAAAATGCAAATTAGCCGAGTCATGACGTACATCTTTTTTGGGCAGCATGCTGCCATGTACAGTTGCAAACAAACAGGTGAACCTTGAGCCTTGAGTCCCCAGAACTCCACGAGGGCTTAATGTCCTTCGACACCAAGCTTAGCTTGATAAAAGAAAACTGATTTGGGCTAGCGTTTGGATAAGTTTGGATGCACAGGTGTGTGTGCGCGCGTGCGCGCGCAGATCGCGGCTCCAAAGCCTCAACCTGAATACTGAGCGATCCACGGGTTGCCAGCGAATAACAGTCTCCCCTGAAGCAAGCATGACATCCCGCGTTGGAAAAGGAAACACAACAGTTATTGGGGGGCCATTTGGAGAGTTTGCATGTTGGCAGTGACGGGAATAGGTCCAGTGTTGTGATTAGGAAATGTAGACAGACAAACAATTCTACGTGCATGTATATGAATATATATATATATACATATGTATGAAAAAAATCTCTCCGCATGTATCTTCTCATGCATATTTATGTATATACCTTTTGTCAGGCCCCTAAACCCTAAATAGTGGTTTCCATTTTCTTTTCCTTTATCCCTATATAACCCCTAAGAACACGCCACCCCTATTAGACCATGGCATATCTGCGAATCCAGACTAACGCACGTAGTTGGCTACGAATGCCTCATGTGGTGAGAGAGGACAAATTGCAATACACAAGCCGCGAGGCCTTGAGCCCTGAAGCCCGGATGCCGAAATCTAGACTTGAAGTCTCAACTTAACCACGGGCCTGAAACCATAAACCTTTGAAACTGCCCTATAGTCCCCCTTAAGTACATAGCATATGGCTTTGGGTATATTCTAATAAGATCCCCATATACCCCATACTCTATCCACCTAAGGGGGACTAGAGACCCCAGCTGCACCTTGCTAGCACGGATTTGTCCGGCTGGCATCCTCTGCGGCAACTAGAGCGGGAAGGGGCGCCCCCCAATCTAACATGGGACAGTTGTCGATGCAGGCCGTCACTGAGGGTTCCAGGTGTGTTTGTGGCAGGGTGGCTCGGAGGTATCTTTCTTGGACTTCTGTGTTTGAAATCTTAACTTTCAGGCGCAACTGACAGATGCATCATTACCGTGGACCCAGACTCAGGGCGTAGGGTCCTTTGGAAGTTTGAAAAATTCAGGGTCCCAGTTCGGGGTCTAGGTACCCCTAATGTTGAGAAACCACCATATAGGGTCCATATTGGAGCCATTTTCCCTGAACCCTGAACCTTAAATCCTAAACCCTAAACCCTGAACCCTGAACCCTAAACCCCCATTTCATGTCCAGGGATCTGGGGTTGGAAGGCTGAGGGAGCCCTGGTAGATGGGGGGGGCTTAGGATTTATGATTTGGGGGATTCCCAAAATTAGGGATACCTTTCGGGGGTCCCAATAATAAGGACCATAGTCTATTAGGGTCTATCTTGGGGCCCCCCTGTTTTGGGAAACTACCATTTGGGTGTTGGTTGCAAGATTTAGTATTCAGGCTTTAGGGTTCAGGATTTAGGGTCTAGTATTCAGGATTTAGGATTTCAGGTCTGGTGTTCAGGATTTAGGGCGTAGGATTTTAGGGTCTAGTATTCAGGAGTCAGGGTTACAGGTTGAGCAGCTGGCAACTGAAACTCTGAGCTCTAAGCCTTTTATACCCCAAGACCCTTCAAGGGGCCCCGTGGTTGTAACTATTGGAGAAGTATAGTTGGAAGCCCTATGAGTTAGAGCTCTGGAATGTATACTGACAGCTGTGCAACTCGGGAGCACCGCCCTGCAAACTTGAAATTATGGCGTGAAGAGGTTCCGCTTTATTGTTTATAGGGTTAGAGGTTTACGGTTCCAGCATTTAGCGTAATGCACCTTGTGCAGCACATAGCTTGTAATGATGCAGTTCTTGCGCCTGAGCGAAACACATGTGAGGTTTCAAAACAGACCCTGCAGAGCAAGTTAAGTTGCATGTAGGGGTCCCTCTGGCGAACCCTAGAAGCCGACTCCTAAGCTTCATCTTAAGACATGAGACCCCAAGCCTAAAGCAGCAATCTCCAGAAAGCTACTCCTCCAAAGCCCTGAAACCATCTGAAGCCCAAAGCCCCTGCCTAATCATTTCGCCCTAAGCACCTGATGGTGCCTGGTTCTTCTCAACATTCATGAAGCAGCGTTCAACATGTATGTAGAGCGCCAATGTTTTCACAAACGTTCGGTCAGCCCCTGTAGACGCGCCAACTCAGCAGACTACGCGGGTCCCTCACATTTCAACACCCTTGAACTCAACTTTTGTAGTATTGAGCTGGTAGAGTCCGCAAACCCTGAACCGGACTTGAACATCCCACCCATGGCCCTTCGACCCGCTACACCTGACTGGTGCTTAGCAGGGAATGAGGGAAGACAATACCTATATACCCCTACATCATATACTCCCTTATTCCCTATACTGACCACCAGTAGGACACCCGTGGCACCTCCGCGACGGGGTCGCCACGACGACATGGCGAGGAGAGGCCAAAGTCAGGTGCATGCGTGCTTCACAGGATGATTTCGTCTTACTGGCAGTAAGTAGGGAATAAAGGAATATATGTTATAGGGACTATATATACATATATGGGTTGTATTCCCTTATTGCCTACTAACCACCAGCAAGTTTGGATTCTGAGTGACCTGGGGACAAAACATGATTGAATTCTGTGTTAAGCCTACATGCAACCTATTGAGACGGAACTGTTGATTGAGCACTTGGTTCTTAGGTTCTTCCTTCTGAAAAGTTTTGAGATTCAGTCATGCTCCGAGTGTGGTGAATAGCGTGTTGCTCTTGAGGAACATTGAAAACAAAACTGCAGTTCTCTAGGGGTGTTGAGGAAGTTAAGCTAAGTTACCAAAATTGTGGATATGCAGGAAATGGAGGCGCTACATCAAGGTCAAAAAAGCTGAGAAGCATGCTTGGCTTCATGGATACTCTTAAGGCCTAAACACTTTTGTTTTAGGGTCCATGGGTTTAGGGTCTAGGGATTCTTGAGAAAGCAGTTTGAGGTGTAATGGAAGCACATGCTCTGCCAGTTCCTGGGCTTGTTGGGCCTGTTCCAGGCAGTCGAAGCTAATGGCTCTGGACTCCAAAGTCAGGCGAAGGGGGAGGGTGGAGGCTCACCATGATGGATTAGATGCGGGAACTAAATCAACGAACTTGAGAACAATAATCATCTCTGCATCATCAACCATGTATACGTGTTATTCCCGTAATATGAGCTAAACTCCAAGAATCCCCCTTAATTAATAACCCCTATAATCCTCGGAGATTTGACACTAAACCCTGTGCATGACCCTCTTGAATGAATTTAGACTATAGCTCATATATTCCCACAGTTCCTTAGGATGCCTTTCTTTTCGAAAACGCCCCACGATTCTTGCGGGGCCCCGGTTTTCGCATATCTCAGCCTTACCTGTCCACCTACTACATTGAAGTGATATATGGTTTGGGGTTTAGGGTTCTATGGCACACCAAAGACACATAAACACCAACATTTCATACACGTCCCTAGCAGCAACGGCTGCTCAACCCAAATTCCTTAGCTCCCCTCAAAACCTGGCATAAGAACTTGACATCTGAAAAACTCATCAGCTATACTGCAAGGCCCTACATACTTACCAATATCATTTCGTGGCGTGCATGCCGTGCCCTATACCAGAACCAGACAAGGAACCTAGGACCACACAGTTGGTTCAGTAGGCTTCTACATTGCCTGATCTCGCTGAAGCCCGTTTCAATCCAGACTCCGCTCCACAATAAGCTGGGAACTGACACGCAAAACTTAAGCCCAAGTAACGGCACCTCCACTTTTGCTTACTGGTTCTTTTAGGGAATAAGCGAATATATTCCAATATAATCCCTTATGATATATATTCCTTTAATCCCTAACAAGAAAGCGTAAGTCCACCTTTAAAAGCCCTCAGGGTGAAGGCCGGGGAGCCTTACTTCCTCTGCCAAATACCTCATACAGGCAGGGAGGGGCCCCTGAGTTAAAGGGTTCACTGTAGGGTTTAGTGTTTAGGGCTTATAGCTTGGGATGTAAAGCAACTTCTGATGGGGATAGGAACAAAAATGGAAGCCATGCAAATGAGTGTTCGTATGGGTACGGTCATGTAACCCTGCGGCGCGTGGAGCTCTACATGCATGCAAGCGCTTACCTTTTCATGTGCCTTGTGCAGGTTTAACCACAAAAGACGAATAAGCTCAAGGATACCCATGTGTTGGCTGAGCAAAAACGCTTGGCGTCACCTTCGCGCCTGAGACCTTCGACCACAGCCTGCGGATGGGAAGAGCAAAATGATTGGGTAGGCATCTTTACGAAACACTAGTGTTGTATGCAATGGTAAATATACAAGACAGACTATCGGGTACTGCTTTACATGGTTGTAACTTGGGCTTTCCCTACCCTAGCAAGATGGCTTAGGTTCAGGATTTGGGCTGGGCGCCTTGGAGTTCAGGACTCTTAGGACTCTTAGGTCTAGGCGGTTAGGAATTTCACAGGATGAGCTTTAAGGCAGCGGGCCGTGGAGACAGTTGCATGCAGCGTGCAAGGATCAGCTCAGTAAGTTCGAAGGAGGTTTTAGGGTTTAGGGTTTTGGGGGTTTGGGCTTGTAAGCCTGAAGCCACAAAACCCCATACACAGCATCCCTGACCCCCATGCAACATCAACAACTTAACCACACTGAGGCCGTAGAAGGCCCAAAAACAAACACCCAATCAGCCTTTGCAACCCTTCTTTCCCCGACAA